CACGGCCCACCCCCCCCGGCCCTGCCCAGCCAGGCAGGACTGGACTAAGCAGGGTTTTCTGAGCTGAGCCTTCTCTTCAGGATGCAGTGGCCAGGACTGGAGAGAGTGGAGAAGACCCCTGAGTTGGAGAAGGGAAGGAATCCTCTGCCCCTCCTCCTGCTGTTGCTGGTCTTGATGACCCCCACAGGGAGCCCAGAGGTAGGAGCTTCTAGAGGGTGGATCTTTCCAGAACATTCTAATGGGATCGGGGAAGCCCGGCATAAGCAATAACTTATTACGAGGCAACCTCCTGGCGCAGGGTGGGTTAGTCTTTCCTTCTGGAACTTTCCCTGGACAAGCCCGCTTGTCATCCAACCCAAAGACGTGTCAACAGAACCCTGGATGGTGGGAACAGTGATCCTCCAGATTGCATTCCCCCCCTTCCAATCTTTATTGTGAGAATCTGGGGAGTGTTTGTTACTCACAGAGCCTCATTCAAAGCTTTTCTCCAAGAGAATTCAAAAGAGGTACTGTGGTCCTAGAAAAGGATGTTTCATAGCCAGCCGCCAGGGGCTCCCACCTGTCATCCCAGCCACTCAGGAGGCTGAGATCGGAGGATCACGGTTCAAGGCCAGCCTGGGCAGGAAAGGCCATGAGGCTCTGATCTCCAAGGAACCACCAGAAAACTGGAAGTGGAGCCGTGGCTCATGTGGTAGAGCACCGGCCTTTAGTAAAAGAGCTCAGGGACAGCGCCCAGGCCCTGAGTTCAAGCCCCAGGACACACACACTCACACACACAGGGGTTTATATAAACTCTGGCAAACTTGCCACTACGTCTCTCCCTGTCCGAGCGAAATGAGCCCGTGGGAATGGCTCTTTCCTTGGTCACGTCTAGGTGATCCGTGACGTCGACGTGGACTTGGCCCCGGGCTCCTTCGACGACCAGTACCACGGCTGCCAGCAGCAGGTGATGGAGGCGCTGACCCAACGCGATTACTTCACCCGCGAGGTGGACGCCCACAGGAACTACTCCAGGCTGTGGCACCGGGCACACCTGGCGTGGCTGGGCCACGCGAGGCCGCTGCCCCCGGGCCTGACCCCCACGCACGCTGTGGCCCTGCTGCTGTACATGTCCGATGCCACCGTGCGCTCGGATTTCTCCAGGGCCCTGGCTCGGGATGCCAGCTCGGGCGGGCAGCACCAGCGTGCGTTCCGCTTCAACTTCCTCCACTACTACCTCACCTCGGCCGTCCAGCTGCTGAGGGCGGAGGCGGCCACGCGGGACGGGGGCCCGTGTCACCGGGTGCACCACGCCATGAGGGATGTCACCCTGGAGGCCGATGTCGGGGTCACCGTCCGCCTGGGCCAGTTCCTCCTGGCCCCTCTCCTGAGCGAGGAGGCCCAGAGGCCTGGCGTGCGCACGCTGCTCACCCTGATCACCTGTCTCGGGGCACGCGTGCCCCCGTTCTCGCCCCAGCAGGCCGTGCTGGTCCCGCCCTACGAGGTGTTCCGGGTCGTCAACCGGAGCCAACATCAGAGTGGAGATCGGTGGTTCCTGCGCTCGGCCGGCAACAGAAGCGCCTACAACTGCCAGCTGCTGAAGGGTAATCTTGCTTTTGCTCTTGTTGTCCAGCTTGGGGTGGGGGCCTGGGCGCCGTCCCTGGGCTCTTTCGCTCCGGGCTGGCGCTCTACCGCTTGAGCCACACCGCCAGCCCAGCTTTTTGGTGGTTCCTTGGAGATGAGAGTCTCACGGACTTTCCTGGCCTCCAACCGCGATCCTCAGAGCTCAGCCTCCTGAGTCGCTGGGCACCGGGCCGGCTGGGAGTGGGGATGGTAGAGGAGAGACCAGTAGAGGGACCGGCTTGAGTTTGATGGCAGGACTTGGGGTGAGCCCTGAGCTTGGGGCGTGGGTGGCAGAACCGGCCCAAGGCCAGCGGGGGCTGTGGTGCCGCAGGATCGGGCCGAGCATTCTGATGGTGTGACCCTTTCACAAGGGAGCCCTCCTTGGGATCCGACAGCGAGACTAGAGTGAGCGAGCAAGCGAGCGAGCAAGGGAGGGAGGGAGGAAGAGAAGGAAGGAGGGTGGGAGCGAAGGAAGGAAGGAAAGAGGGAGGGAGGAAGGGATGGAGGGAGGGATGAAGGGAGGGAAGGAGTAAGGAAGGGAGGGAGGGATGGGGGAGGGAGGAAGGAAGAGAAGGAAGGAGGGTGGGAGTGAAGGAAGGAAGGAAAGAGGGAAGGAGGGAGGGAGGGAAGGAAGGAGGGAAAGAGAGAAGGAAGGAAGGAAAGAGGGAAGGAGGGAGGGATGGAGGGAGAGGAGGGAGGGAGGGAGAGAAGGAAGGAAGGAGGGAGAGAGAGAAGGAAGGAAGGAAAGAGGGAAGGAGGGAGGGATGGAGGGAGAGAAGGAGGGAGGGAGGGAGGGAGCAAGGGAGGGAAGGAAGGAGGGAGGGAGGGATGGATGGGGGAGGGAGGAAGGAAGAGAAGGAAGGAGGGTGGGAGCGAAGGAAGGAAGGAAAGAGGGAAGGAGGGAGGGAGGGAAGGAGGGAGGGGAGAATGGAAGGAGAGAAGGAAGGAAGGAAGAAGAAAGGAAGGAAAGAAGGAGGGAGGAATGGAGGGAAGGAGGGAGGGAGAGAAGGAAGGAAAGAGGGAAGGAGGGAGGGAGGAAGGGAGAGGAGGGAGGGAGAAAGGGAGGGAAGGAGGAAGGGAGGGAGGGAGAGAAGGAAGGAAGGAAAGAGGGAAGGAAAGAGGGATGGAGGGAGGAAAGGAGGGAGGGAGAGAAGGAAGGAAGGAGGGAAGGAGGGAAGGAGGGAGAGGAAGCAGGGAGGGAGAAAGAAAGAGGAGAGAGGGAGAGAAGGAAGGAAGGAAGGAAGAAAAAAAGAAAGGAAGGAAGAAAGGACAGAAGGAAGGAAGGAAAGAAGGAGGGAGGGATGGGGGAAGGAGGGAGGGAGGGATAGAAGAAAGTAAGGGAGGAAGGAAGGAAGGAAAGAGGGAAGCAAGGATGGAGGGAAGGAGGGAGGGAGGGAGTCAGCAAGTTGAGGTCTGAGTTGGCATAATCTAAGAAAAATGTTTTGTAAAAGTAAGTAGACTTCCCAGGTTTCATGGGGAAGTTTTCAGGTTAAAGTAGCAAATCTATCATTACTGCTGCTGTGGAGAATCGTGTCTGCTGCCTGGCACATGGCTAACTGGGTTTGTTGGGTGCAGCTTCCGGCGCTCAGCCCGCCCCTCCCGCCCTGCTCCTGGCTTCCATCCCTGGCCTGGTCAGTCTGCGCATCCTCCTCCAAGAGCCGGCCTAGAGACGTCCTGACTCTTCCTGAGCCACGTTTAACCCCCCGGCCTCCAAGACGACCGCTGGGGGGAAGGAAAGGAGCTTATCCCCCCCCCGCCTCCCCAGCCCCCCATCTCCATCCTACAGGATTTCCAGGGTGGAGCTGTGGCTCAAGTGGTAGAGCGCCAGCCTTGAGTGAAAGAGCTCAGGGACAGTGCCCAGGCCCTGAGTTCAAGCCCCATCACACACACACACACACACACACACACACACCAGGCCCTGAGTTCAAGACCCATCACACACACACACACACACACACACACACACACACACACACACACACCAGGCCCTGAATTCAAGACCCATCACACACACACACACACACACACACACACCCCAGAGCAGATACCCCATGTCTTTTTTGTTGTTGTTTTTTGTTTTTGTCAGTCCTGGGTCTTGAACTCAGGGCCTGGGCGCTGTCCCTCAGCTCTTCAGCTCAAGGCTGGCGCTCTACCACTTGAGCCACAGCGCCACTTCGGGAGCTTTTCCCCCATGGAAGATTTAAAATTTCTCTCCCCTCTCCCCCCAGCCCCTGCTCAGATCATCACGTTTCTCCTGATCTGGGAACGCAATGAATTGTGAACCCCGAAGCAGGAGAAGCCCACAAAGCAGGCAGGCAGGGGCCAGGGCAGGGCCCCCGCAAAGCCTGCCAGTCATCACATTCCACTGGAAGCATCTAGAAACATCCAGACTGTGGGGGGGAGGGAAGGGGGTGGGAAAGCACTTCAACAATTCTCTCTACCGCCGGACCCAACTCCTAAAGGCAACGGGGTAAGAATCTGGCTGTAAACATGTATTCTGCGTTCTCAGTGTAAATGGCTTTGGGGTGCGATTTGCAATACATGCTTAAGGTAATAAAAGCTCCTTACTCTGTGTGTGTGTGTGTGTGCGTGCGCGCGTGCATGCGTGTGCCTCTGGTACCAGTCTGCTTTACCGCCAGAGCCCCAGCTCCGCTCCAGTAGCCCCTGTGCATTGTGTGAGTTTTGTTTTTTTTCCAGCTATCCCTCCTAAGGAAGTAAAACTCAGAGGTAGGCCAGCTGGGTTTCCCTCCTCTGGTTTAGAAAGCTTAGGCGTCTGATCAAACCTTTACTTGCTCCAGGAAATGTAATTCTTCCACCCATCAGCAGTGGCGTGTCACTTTCTCTTCTTAAATTCCTTTTTCCCTCCTTTCTCTGGCATTGTCCTAGGAGGGGAGGATGCGGTTGGAGAATTAACTAGGGGATACCGAGGGTCCAATTGGAGACAAAGATATGTGATTTCATTGTAGCCGCTTCCCAAGAAAGAAAGAAAGAAAAAAACCTATGCCATTTAAGAACCCAGAAGCATTTGGTGGCAAAATGATCTCTTTATCCACAATGACAAAAGCCTATTTTGCACAACATAATTAGAAGAAAAACTGACAAGAGTAAAATAATTTGCATTGGGGTGCAAACACCATACTAGATTAGTAAAGTGTGATATGTATGTGTGCATATCTTTATCATGTATTATGTATACTTCATATTTCTAGATGTAGATAGATAAATAGGATGGATAGATAGAGAGATGATAGATGGATGGACATATGGATGACAGACAGACTGGCAGATGGATGGGTGGGTGGATGGATGGAAAGATTGATGGATAGATGATAGATAGATGAGTGGACAGATGGATAGATAGATATTTAGATAGATAGATGGATGAGTGGATAGATGGATGAGTGGATAGATGGATAGATAGAGATGTGGATGGATTGATACAAAGATAGATAGATAGGTAGATAGGTAGGTAGATAGATAGATGAGTGGATAGATGGATAGATAGAGGTATGGATGGATTGATAGATAGATAGATAGATAGATAGATAGATAGATAGATAGATAGATAGATAGATAGATGTATAGGTAGAATAGATGAACAGATGGATGGATAGATGGATGGATGGATGGATAGATGGATGGATGGATAGATACAGGAATCGAGAAAGAGAGAGAGATGCTTTTTAATTCTTATTACACTGGTCAAGATAGTCTTGGGTCATTCACAAATCTATCCTGAAAACTGTTGGTTGAGAATATGGCCAGCAAACCTCCCTTGGTTTGGGCTGCAAACCCCTTTCTCTAACACCATGTCAATCCCCCCCCCCCCCCCCGCAGCCTCGCTGCACAGACCTCGCGCTCCGGCGGCCATCGCCGGCCCCGTGCACCCTTTCATCCTGACTGCCGACTTCGTCACTGCCAGGCCAAGGGGAGAGACAATGCCCCCCGCCCCTCCCCGCCCTGCTCCCCACTCAGCTCCGTCTCCCCTTGATATTTCCCCCCAAGGCTCTACGCTGGCCAGCAGAATCAGCACAGCCACATCTGTTTTTCTTGTAAGTTACTGTGATTGCAAAGGTGACATGCAGAGAGGTGACAGTGACATCAGTAGGGTCACGAGTGCAATGCTCTGTGGACCCTGTCCCCCCTTCCCTCCTCTCTCCCCCTGTCCCTGTGTAACTTGTGTGTGTGTATTTGGACTTGAAACTGTTGGGGGCCACAGAATTCTCGGATTAAGTCGCACCCGCCCGAGCCCGGCTTGCTGCTCAGCAACAGGTTCAAGAAAGAAATCCCCGGCTCGCCGTCGCCCCCTGCTGGTGACCGCTTCCCCCATCCATCGGGCAGCTCCGTCCACCCATGCAGGACAAAGCCCTTTCCAGAACCACCCAAAATCTGTGCAGAAGTGGCTAATAACCTCCTCCCCCTCTCCCCCCCAAAAAATACCCTCCTAGCAGATCTGATGAGCAGCTGGGGAAATCACCAGTGTTGGGAAGCAAAGACTCTCCAAACTGGGCCGTAATTCCTAGACACGTTCTTATGACTTCTGGAAACCCATCGGGTTTATTTGTTAATTAAACAAATGCTTGATAAACACGACAAAGTCTCCCACTGAGAATTTCCCACCACTCTCGGGCACCCGTGGCTCACGCCTGTCATCCTAGCTACTCAGGAGGCTGAGATCTGAGGATCACGGTTCAAAGCCAGCCCCGGAAAGTCTGTGAGACTCTGATCTCCAGTGAATCAACAGAAAACCGGAAGTGGCGCTGTGGTTCAAGTGGTAGAGCGCCAGCCTTGAGTGAAAGAGCTCAGGGACACCAGCCTTGCAAATGGTCAGAGAGAGAGAGAGAGAGAATTTCCCACCACTAAACAATGCAGAGTCTTAAGCATCAATGGATTCTATTCTGTCGTCCATGCTTTCCATAAATTGACTCCAGGTTTCAAAGAGAGAAAACTAATTGCTTATACCCTCCTGTGTATTAGAGATCTTTCTCACAGCTCATGGCCCCTGGCTTATCCATCACTAATATTCCTGATGAACTGCACAAGGCAGACACTGTTCAGGACTTTAGGTGTTTTTTTTTTCCTGGTCCTGGGCCTTGAACTCAGGGCCTGGGCGCTGTCCCTCAGCTCTTTCACTCAAAGCTAGTGCTCTACCCCTTGATCCACAGCTCCACTTCCAGTTTTCTGGTGGTTCCTTGGAGATCAGAGTCTCACAGACTTTCCTGCCTGGGCTGGCCTCGACCCGCGATCCTCCGACCCCAGCCTCCTGGGCGGCTGGGATGACAGGCGTGAGTCACGGCGTCCGGCTTGCTGGGGGGGACTTTTTCATGGGGGTGTCCTGTTCTCCTTTTCAGTGCTTACCTTTCCCACATGGCGCAGAGCGACTTCCTGTTCCCGGACAACCCCAGGAGGCGACAGGAAGTGGCCCGCCTGCACCAGCAGCTGCTGGGCTGCCTGCTGGACAGTTTCCAGGCCACCAATGAGCTGATCGGGGTCCTCAACACGCACCTGGGGTGCAGGCTGCCCCCCATCGAGATGCGGAGACAGGGGACCATCAAGGAGAACTGTGACGCCGTCATTGAAGCCGTGCGGGGCATCCAGACAGAGCTGCAGCAGGTGGACCAGGCCCTGAGGGACAAGCTGGAGCCCACGCTGTACCAGAAGCTGCGGGACGTAAAGGAGAAGGAGACGGACAAGGTGGCCATCGTGCAGAAGGTGATCTCGGCCATCCTGGGGGAGGCCACGGCGGCGGCCAGCGCCGTGGCCGTGAGGCTGGTGGGCTCCGGTGCCACGGAGGGGCTCCTGCACAAGCTGGCAGCCGCCCTGGGTCACATCGGCGCGTCCCTGCTGGGCAGCGTCGGGGTCGCCGTCCTGGGCCTGGGCCTCGATCTGATCGTCCGCGCCATCCTGGGAGCGGTGGAGAAGAGCCAGCTGCAGGCAGCCATCAAGAGCTACGAGGCCCATCTGGTGGAGTTCAAATCCGCCTCTGACAGGTACCACCGGGCCATCGCGGAGGTCACCGACCTGGTGAGACTCCAGACGAGATGAGAGAAGCTACCAGAAGGCCGCCTGGCTTCCTTGAAAGCCCACGACTTAGCAGAAAGGTAAACCGCTTTGGAACGTCAGCTCCTCCACGTCCCTAAGTCTGGAGTTTTGAATCCACCCCAAAACCCTGAATCGACCCACAGAGGTGGAATATTATTTACCCAGGACTTTGGTACCCAGGTCCGAGGGGGAGCAGAGATGGGGGTGGGTGAAGTTGTTCCATGACTCATTTTCCAGTGGAAATCCTTAGCATTCACATTAAAAAAATATATATATATATATATGTAGACACGCGTTCCTGGTTTTATCTTTAACCATTCACGTCAGGCTTCCTTTAGTACCAAGAGGAGATGTTCAGTAACTTCTGGATAGACCTGAACCCGGGGCTTTCAAACAGAAGTAGGGATGCTACTATTTCCAATAGAAACAGTCATGCTGTTATGATTGTCTCTACTACTACGATTCCTTAACCATATTGTTATTATTAGCTTAAATGGTGTTTTGTGGAAAGTCCTGAGGTTGAAAATAAAACAGCAATGATGCCAGGCACTGGCAGCTGATGCCTGTAATCCTTGCTAGCAGCACAGGAGGCAGAGATCTGAGAGGATTGTGGTTTGAGGGCAGCTCGGGCAGGAAAGTCCCTGAGACGCTGATCTCCAATAAACTACTCAGAAAAGCCGGAAGTGGTGCTGTGGCTCAAGAGGTAGAGCGCCAAGCCTTGAGCACAAAGAGGTTCGGGGACAGTGCCCAGGCTCTGAGTTCAAGTCCCAGGACCCGCAAAATTAAATGCATACATACATACATAAATAAAAGGGGAGACCATAGCTTTGTGAACTTGTCATTATACCATGTTATCTGGGTGGATTTTATATTAAAGATAAAGCAACGATGATCTTTATTTTTAAAAAAACAGCTCTGTTGGTATTAAATGCAATGCATTTACTATGGAACATTAATATATAATATTTTATTTTTTTCCGGCTGTGGGGCTTGAACTCAGGACCTAGGCGCTGTCCCTCAGCTCTTCAGCTCAAGGCTGGTGCTCTACCACTTAAGTCCACAGAGCCACTTCCGATTTTCTGAGTGGTTTATTGGAGATCAGAGTCTCACGATCTTTCCTGCCTGGGGCTGGCTTTGAACCGCGATCCTCAGATCTCAGCCTCCTGAGTAGCTGGATGACAGGCAGGAGCCACTGGCGCTTGGAAGAACATTTTATTTTGTGAGGATAATTTTCTCGCTATTATTAAGGCGCTGTCCAGGGAGGTGGCCATTTTGTAAGTCGAGTCTCGAGTCCGTTTTACCCCGTGCCAGCTCCCCGTCCATCCCTGCCTGGGGGGTTGCCTAGTTCTATTGCTGTGGAGTATTTAAAAAGGAAAAAGCATGCTCCAGCTACGCACACTCGGAAGAGGGGGGAAAAATGTGGACCTCTTTTAAGAACTTGTCTTTTAAAGAACAGCCATGGTTGATTGGGTGGGGGGGGGGGGAGGTTTTTCTCAGGAAAAACCCAAGCAAGCCGACTTCACTTTCCACTCGAGCTGACTTCCATCTTAGGGGGGAAAAAAGCCATTTATTTACGCTTTACAAAACCCCTTTGTGCTTCGCCACTGCTTCTGTAGCTATAGGCCTTTGTTTTCCAAAGCCTTCTGCAACCACTAACTCCTCCGACATTCCTTCAGTAATCACAAGAGAGGAAAACTGCTTGTTTGGGGGGGTCTTTGTTGGGGGGGGTTTCAATTCAAGACCTTGTGCTTTCTGAGGCCGGATCTCTACCACTTGAACCACGCCTCCAGTCTTGCTTTTGCTGGTTCTTCTGAAACAGGATGTTGTTTTTTTTCAGAGTTTCCCATCTGGGCTGGCCGGGGGGCCTTGAGCAGTGGGCCTCGGATCTCACACACCTGATGAGTGTGATGGGCGTGTGTGACACAGGAGCCCCAGCGGCCCGATGAAAACTTGCAATCAGCTAGAGGAAAGCCTGCTTTTATTTTTCATCCGCAATCTCCATTTCCTTTTCTCTTCCGTGGTTGCTTTTATAGATTCGTTGCGGAGTATCTACTGTTGTCACTCCCCTTCCAGACCTTATTTTCTTTTCCCTTACCTGGCTTCTCACCCCTGAGCTCTTAGATCTTGTTCCTGACACTGGAATCCAAACAGACCTCCAAGAATTTTCACTAAGATGTCCAGCGACCTGTAGTCTCTGAGCTCAGAAAGTGAGAAGATCAGGAGTTCCAGGCCAGCCCGGGCTGTCTGTAGGGAGACCCAGAATATGACATAAGGAAACAAAAACAAATCCACAAAGCAAAGAGAGGTCAGCTGTAGGACTGATCTGATGATGTCCAGGGCACATTAAAAGATTCTGGGAGGGGCTGGGAAGGTGGCTCAGTGGTAGAGCGCTTGCCTTGCATGCCTGAGGCCCTGGGTTCGATTCCTCAGCACCACATAAGCAAAAAGAAAAAAGCCGGAAGTGGCGCTGTGGCTCAAATAGTAGAGTGCTAGCCTTGAGCTGAAGAGCTGAGGGACAGCGCCCAGGCCCCACGACTGGACCCCCCCTCCAAAAAAAAAAAAAAAGATTCTGGGAAAAACCAACATGTCTCTCCAAACATCAGACAGGATGGAGTCAGCCATGGCTCATTTTTCTACAAGGGAATAATACTCAGATGAGCCTCAGAAATGACCCCCGCCCCCTTCCAGGTCAGATAATAATAACAATCACAACAACAACAAGGAAGGAGGAAGAAGAGGAGGAGGAGGGGGAGGAGGAGGGAGGGGGAGGAAGGGGAGGGGGGAGAGGGGGAAGAAAACTTCACAGAGCCCACGCCTGTCCTCCCAGCTACTCGGGAGGCTGAGAGCTGAGGATCCCAGTTCAAGGCCAGCCAGGGCTGGAAAGCCCCTGAGACTCTGATCGCCAATGAATCAGCAGGAAGCTGGGAGTGGAGCTGCGGCTCAAGCGGTAGGAGCGCCTGCCCTGGGTGAAAAAGCTCAGGGACTGTATCCAGGGCCGGCACAGAAGGAACAGAGGAGACCACAATAATAAAGAAATACAAAGGAGCCCTCGGGGCCTGGTGACCAGGGCGCCCGGAGCGCTGGACCTTCCAAACCCAGGCTGCAAAGTCTCTGGTCCCCGAGGCAAGCCCATCAGCCAATCAGGGCTCGGCTTCTTACTTTCCCCCCCCCCCCCCCCCCCCGGACTGAGCGGCAGTGTGTGCGTCCGTCAACGCAGAGGAAGGCGGGCCCGCGGCTTGCAACCGACCAATCGGAGGCGGAGGGGAGCGGAAGCTCCTCTAGCCCCCGGCCTCCCGTGGGGGTGCCTCTCGCTGGTGCCTAGCAACGCCGCGAGGACGTCCGTCCGCGGGGCCGGAAGTGACGTCTCCGGCCGGCGGAGGGGCGCGAGGTTTCAAGATGGCGGTGTCCGGGCGG